ACCATGCCGCGATGTCATCTGCGGTTCGCATGAGACCTGCACGATGATCGACGTCAACTGCGGCCCGAACGAGTACTGTCCAGCGGTGCCGGCATGTCTCACGACGAAACCGGGCCAGTGCCCGTACCTCGTGCCGAGCTCATCGAGCTGCGAGCTGCAGTGCAGCAATGATCAGGAGTGCTCATCTGGCGATAAATGTTGCTCGACCGGTTGCGGCACGCAATGCGTGGCACCGGTCATGGCCACGGCTTGCCAGCATGCTCGCGCGGTCGCTGAGCATGCTGCCAGGGAGTCAGGCGAGCCCGCGAGAAGGACCTACATACCTAGGTGTGACTCCAATGGCGCGTTCGAGCCGGTGCAATGCCATAACGGTATGTGTTGGTGCGTAGATGAGGAAGGCAAGGAAGCGGCGGGTACTCGGGTCCTCGAAGGAATCGTGCCGCGCTGTAACACACCCTTGAGATGTCCAGAAATCGATTGCAAGCTCGATTGTCCGGATGGCTTCGAACTGGACGCGGACACAGGCTGCCCGACGTGCTCATGCCGCGACCCGTGTCGCAGCGTGACTTGCCGCGGTGAGAACGAGGCGTGCCGGATGGTGGAGGTCGCGTGTAGTGCACCACCATGTCCCCCGGTACCAGTCTGCTTACCGAAGAAGGACAATCCGTGTCCGAACAGTTCGCCGTTGCTCGAGCAAAACGGCTCGATCGCCACTTGTGGGCCACATGGTCATCATTGCCCCTCGACGCACAAGTGCGAGCTATCGCCGTTGGACGAGTACGCGGTGTGCTGTCCGAAACCACGTGAGGTCTGCTTCGAGCCACCCCGAAGAATACCTTGCAATCCGAGCGTTGGCTTCAACGAGACCGAGAGATGGTTCTTCGATCCAGAGCGCAACGAATGCCGACGCAAGAACGAGTGCACCGTCGGCCACAATGACTTCTCCAGTCGACTAGTGTGCGACACAGTGTGTCCTGTACTGTCGCAGTGTGAGAGGTTGCGCGAGAAGAATCTGAAGCGGTCGCAACGACTCAAGCAGCCCACTTTCCTGCCCAAGTGCAATCCTGATAGTGGAACGTGGGAACCGGTGCAGTGTCTGGAGCACGTTGGTGTCTGCTGGTGCGTGAATCGTAAGGGCCAGCCAATTAAGGGTTCGCTCACCCGAGCCGCCGAGCCAAAGTGTAACTTCCGGCAAGCAAGACGCGGTGGCAGAAGACCGGAGTCGCAGGAGATAGATCGTGAGATTCAAGCGATTATGGAGGACGCTCTGTTGAACTTGGAAACGGACGAACGGCAAACAGGAAAGATTCTCGGGACCAGATGTCAGGCGATGAAGAACAAAGGTCACGTGCCTACGATATGCGACTCACAGGGTAGATTTGAGCCTACACAATGCGCTGGTGATACTTGCTGGTGCGTGGATGAAGCCGGCAATCAACTAATTGGATCTGAGCCGTTTGTGAAGGGAACTAACATTTGCCGTAAGTGGAAGGTTTTTTTAACTAAAATTTAATTGCAATAATTTGACAAGTATATGATTAAAATATAAGTTCAATTAGAATTAAAATTTTATATTAAGATCTTTTAACTTTTCAATTTAAATATGAAATAACAGAGTAAAACAAAAGATAGGATTAATATAGAAGAGACTGGAGCCATTTGTCATCATACAGGGAATGATTGTCAAAACGCTTATAGGTAATTAAATCAATATATGTAATGTGACCAGACGTTCCGATTTCGGCGGGATAGTCTCATTGTTCCAAACATGTTAAACGCCTCGATTTTAGCAAAAAGTATCGAAAAAGTCTCGCTGAAAAATATTTCATATTTTGCCAAATTATAGAATCATAGAACATGTATTATCGCTTCCAGGAAGTAATGCAGCAGTTGAATGAATTTTCTCTGCAATGAACGAAGTATGGACAGCAGAAAAAAGTGAACTTTGAGTTTGTATTTTAAAACTAATTAAAAGCATATTAACAACAAAAATTAATTTTGATTTCAATTACCAAGAATTTTATATATTTCTTAAGTACTTACCTGACTTATTAAAGCAAATAATTTAGAATGAAATTAAATATAAAATAAATAATTGTATTATTTTTAAAAAATAAATTACTGTTATTATACTTATCTTTATATCCATATCTACCTCCTCCTCAATCCCACTTAATAAAGTTCCTACTTTAGATCTAAAAATATCTGGTCACATTAGGTATATCTGATCACATTAAAGTAGTCATATATTAATATATTAATAATTAATATATTAATATATGACAGGGGATTCTCTTCTTTTAACTATAAGTTACTAATATAATATTGATTTATTACATAAAATGATTTGCGCCAAATTATTTGATATTACCAATCGCTGTAATAGAAAAAGTAGAAAATGGAATGCCTCAGATAATTTTTGCTCTGTAGTTATTAATCGTTAGTGTAACAAAGTTTGTGAATATAATCTTTTTCATTAAAAACGGATAGGGTATTAACCAAGATAGTCGGGATTAGGTTTGGTAAATTATTTGCTTTAATAAGTCAGGTAAGTACTTAAGAAATATATAAAATTCTTGGTAACTGAAATGAAAATTAATTTTTGTTTAGGAAGTAGATTTTTAACGCGTGACAGTCAATTTTAGTCTCTTTAAATCAGCAATCTCTTTTATAAATTTATAAATTTAATCTCTAGAGATTAAATTTACAAATATAATGTTTATTATATAAATATTAATTCTTTATAAATATTAATTCTTTCATTTTTCATATAAAAATTATGTATATTTATATACATATAAATTAATACGAAAATAAATTAAATATTTGATTAAAAAATAATCATTTTATTTATATAAAAATACTATA